CATGAGAGACATGCTAATTTTAGGCCCATTTCACAAGTGTGTTGCCTTGGGTTAGACTCAACAAGCCTATTCAAAGCATCAATATCAATTCCATCATGTCGCCCCTGCCATCACAGTTTTTAAGGCTAAAGAACCTGAACGAAATTTACTGAACCATCTTTGACACTTTGATATTCTTTGTGCCTACAGAAGCGTTGTTTCCCTTCTTGTATTCGAACAGCATTACATGCCGAATGTGTCTCGTCGTGTGCCATCACTATAAGGGATTAGAGTATACTAAACTTTACACATTATATAGGCTGCACTAACGTGACGTTTAGATGGTTCGTTTAACTATTATACGTGATGTAAGTTTTTTGGGGGGTTGTTAATGAAAGTGTTCCAAAACGCGACATTAATTTCTTGACGACCTAATACAACGATTCAATCGTATCGAACTTTTGTTCCTAATGACTCTTTGTGATCCTCAAAATTCATTCTGTTTGTCGCTCACCTAGATTAAAACAATACCCTTATCACGATTTGATTGTTTTTTCTTACTGAATTTAACCTCTTTATTAGAAAATTACTATATTTTCTATTCTATTAAATTAAGCAATAGAAATAGGCAAATTCAGTTTTATATCACTTGAATTGCTCTGTACGCAGGTTGAAAACACATTATCATTTTAAGATAATGTCGAAGACATCTAATCAGAGCCCTCAAGCCTTTGGGGACTTCGATAGTGTCAGCAATATATCAGAAATCTCAAACCTAGGAAAACTACGATTTGAGACACAAGACTTTAAACTGTAAACTATTAGTATCAACGGAGCACTATGAAATTCATCTACCGTTTCTGCTTCGTCCAAGTTTTTCATCTGAGTGATATAGATATCTCCGAGTAGAAGGAGACCTTTCACGTGACTACTGTGATGCTAAACAGAGAAATAAAATATCGTTAGGATGTGTGAAAATGTAGGTGTCAGAACAGATTAAGATTTTTTTAAATTTATTATCCAAAGTTAACAAACAAGGGTTGAATTTTTTTTGTGATTGATGGAGGAAAAATAGCTCGAGACACTGTTGATTGTAAAGACCTTGACCCAATTCTTTCCAAACACATTAAGTAAATTGATATGTATGTAATTTACAGGTAGAAGAAAATTTTAAAATAAAGTATTTTATTACTATGTAGCAATTGATATTAACATAAAGTGTTACATATTCCTCTGACATATAACAACTACAATGGGATTAACCTATAATAAAAAAGACTGTAACAGCTGTTACGGGTAAAACTATTTTACATCTTAAAATTACACACAAAACATGTAATAGGTACTAATATTAGGACCGATTTGCAACCTAAATTCTAAGGTAGATTACACATTATAAACTGTAGAAAACAATGTTTTAAAATCAATAAATATTACTTTTAAATGAAAAGAAGTAAACTAGTAACAATGGTTACAGAATAACAGCTATTCTTGTTTTAAAAGTAACATATTATAAAATTTAAAGATGTAATTTATAAAAACCCACTTCTCCAAACGAACCTTTAATAACTGTTTTAGAAAATCAAGAGCTTCTGGATGTCGATTTTCCTTTGTAAGAAGTAACGCAAGATTAAAGAGGGCGCTCCGATCGCTGGGATTCATCTTTATCGGAAAAATGATTAGTGTTACAAAAGAAGTATGTAACATCTAAACAAATAGAATTTTAACAAAGTAATAACAGGTTTTGAGATAATCATGTTTCCTCAGAAGCTAGTCAACATTTTGTAAGGAAATCTATTGATAATAGGATTTTACATAATACTAGTCTGATAACTAAAAAGGCCTAATACTTGATGGGATATATATATATATATATATAATACTTGTCTGAGACTTCTGCGAGTTTACTACCTTATGGGATTCTATATTTTGGTAAGAGAAAACAATGATTCTACTTAAGGCAGAGTAAGGCCATAACTGAGGGTTAATCAAACAATGATTCTACTTAAGGCAGTGTAAGGCCATAACTGAGGGTTAATCAAACAATAATTCTACTTAAGGCAGTGTAAGGCCATAACTGAGGGTTAATCAAACAATGATTCTACTTAAGGCAGTGTAAGGCCATAACTGAGGGTTAATCAAACAATAATTCTACCTAAGGCAGTGTAAGGCCATAACTGAGGGTTAATCAAACAATGATTCTACTTAAGGCAGTGTAAGGCCATAACTGAGGGTTAGTCAAACAATGATTCTACTTAAGGCAGTGTATGGCCATAACTGAGGGTTAATCAAACAATGATTCTACTTAAGGCAGTGTAAGGCCATAACTGAGGGTTAATCATTCATCGGATTCATAAGAAAGTTTGTGTAAGTTCTATGAGGGTTAACTATTCATTGCACTAAATAATACGATGAAAGGAAGTACTCTGTCGTAATTAAAAGGAAACTTGATAAATCGGATAACCAGGATAAAATATAATGAAAGTACAACGTTCTACCAGGTTAACTTGGTATCATCACGTACGTCAACTACAATGAATGGATTGAAACTACAAATATATATAATACAGCACAAGGGTACACTGAACTTTGATTGGGTAAATTTAACAGTAAGGTATGATATTTCCGGAGAGTGTTTATTGACTTCTAGAAGGTCAATGTCTGTAATCAATAAAATAGGAGAATATAAGTACACTTTCAGAAATATAGAATATCATAATAACAAAATTTATAAATTAAATACTGTAACTTGAAAGCTTTAATTAGAAGTAAAGTGATTCACAGAAAATAATATAAAAAACCTTTTTGAACATCAATATAGTTAAGTTAAAGTTAGAATAGATACAACTATGTGGCAGAATAATTATTTCTTTTAGGGATAAACCGTTTTATAAGCAAGGCTTCCTTAATATACGACGGTTTATATATATATTTCTTTTTTTCGTAAAATTTTTAAGGTTCTGTGAGGGTTAACCTTTCACTGAATTTCATAGAAAGATTATGTAAGTTCTATGAGGGTTAACTATTCATCGAATCCTCTAGGGAGACGGTGCACATTTCGTTAGGTTAACCATTCACCTGATTCCATAGAAACAATGTATAGGTTCTATGATGGTTAACCATTCGCAGGATTCCACAGATATAATGTGTACCTTTCTGTGAGGTTTAACCATTCACAGTATTCCATAAAAACAATGTGTAAGTTCTATAACGGTTAACCACTCACAGGATTCTATAAAAACAATGTGTAAGTTCTATAACGGTTAACCACTCACCGGATTCCATAGATCAATGTGTAGGTTCTATGATGGTTAACCACTCACCGGATTCCATAGAAACAATGTGTAAGTTCTATGAAGGTTAACCATTCACCGGATTCCATAGATCAATGTATAAGTTCTATTAGGGTTAATCATTCACCAGATTCCATAGGAACGATGTATAAGTTCTATTAGGGTTAACTGTTTATCGAATTCCTACGAAAGGTTTTTGTAGATTTCATTTGATGAAATGTTACCTAATGGCAGTGTGTTAGTATATACTGTTTAAGAAATAAGTTGTTTTCTGTTTAAAAGTTTATATATATATATGTCATATATTTTTCCCCCTAGTTCCATCACAGTCTTTTTTCTTACCTCAATAGCTTTTCGGAACCAACGTTCAGCACTTGCAGGATTTCCATTTTCCAAGGCTAATGTCCCCAGAGTGAAGTATACTTCCTTTGAGTGTCTAACACCCTGTGTCGCAATGTGAAGCCTATTATGAAAGATACACTTGTAAGATCACCCTCCAGTTGCTATACAATAACACAACCACCTCTAATTTAAGTTTCGACTTAGAAACACACTGAGTAATAATATTATCTTATATTATTTTAAATGTATTTTTAATCATCAGAATATATAATAATATTTATAAACTTCTATCATAATAATACTACCAAACGCTAGTCTATACTAAAATTCATTATTATTTTTAAAATGTAACTAATTAATTACCAAATTGAAAAAATAAAAACTGTGTATGTTCCTGTTGTAAAAATATTGATACAAGATTATAACAGACTGTGCAGTAGGTATTTAAATATCCGTGATAAACATTCCGCTAGATTTCGGATACTTCTTCACGCTCCTCTTTTATTATTCCATTACGGATTTCAAATTGAAGCACAAAAATAGTGTTTTAAATATTGTTACGACAGTGGAAGTCACGTGACTCTGTTAACACGTAATGAGTATCTAGAAGGTTCCTGAAGAGGTTAGTGCGTTCTAGGTACCCTCTATTCTTGTATATAAGCGCGTCAGTTAACGCGAGACGATTTAATCGAAACTAGAATTTGCAGATAGACAGATATAGAGGCAGATAATTGAGTCTAGTGAGCGGTAGTGA